AAGGTCAGACATAATTTTGAAGTCTCGTTTACATTTAAGTTTCAAATAAGTGAAACGAAGTTAAACTCAGGTAAAACACGTTGGTGCACACTAATAAAAACCAGGTGTTCTGCTTAGATGTCAACAGCACGCAGGTTAGTTTTTCACTCACCTATAAGGTATATTTGGTAAACAGTTAGAATTCCCGTGTTTCACATTTGTCTCTGGTCTTTATTATTAGCCCCATGAAGCAGAACATCAGGTGTTTTCTTGCTTCTTTCTGATCGATAAATCAACCATAGATCCCTTGGATTCTAGCGGAGGAAGGCAAATCTGTTTGTAACCCACATACGATTAACCTGCAAGCCAGAGAAAAACGGTTGGCTTGTGACAATTCTGTCTAAATCCCATGCCAATCTGTCAAACGATTAAGTCCTCATGATCTAAACAATGTTCTGCAGAGAGAAATAACTTGTATTTGTTTTGTAGTTCACTTGGATTTCTGATGTGTTCGTCCCAGGTATACCGGTTGGAAGACAGGCCGGTTTTCTGTTATAGCCATCAGCTCTCACACTGCATTTAATCTATTTAGGCTTTGGTTTTTTGGATGTAATTTTACAAACAGAGAAGTTCTTTCAGAGCGATTTCCAAACAACCACCTCATTCACGTAATCAAGCTGAATGTAATTTCCTTTTCAGAAACTTACTGAGTAAACCTCCTAATGCAAACATCAAAAGTGCAATCAGAAACTTTTTTCAGGCATCACTTGCGAAATGACTGACGTCACTAACATGACTGTCCAGCCGGTAAGCTGTTCTTTACTCAACACGAGTTGATAGATAAAGTAACATGGAAATTGCCCGAGCCATTGCTAATGGGCATTTTGTGGATGCCGGGACTCAGCCGTCATTGCCCCACATCCCCAACACAAAGTACATAGGCACAAAGTGCAAGCATGTGTGGATGAAATGACCACCGGCATAGCAGTTTTCGTTATGTGGATGCCATGCACACACAACTTCAAAGCCATACTTCAGACAATGCAGTCCGTAGTTCTGCGTTATTTATTCATGCATAAGCATTGAAAGCTTTGGAAAGGTACGTCTAAAAAGTTCATGCACGTATTTCGAAAGCCTGTTTGTCGATTTGTATAACTTATGGCATCAAAAAGGCATATCAACATATCTCAAGTGTCGCGTTTACGGGGCTCCAGTAGAGGCTGTACCCTACGGTTGAAAGGTGTGGCATCCATGGCGAGTGATCGTAGGGGTTTAGACTTCCGGTGTCGCAGAAGCGCTGTCGAAATTAGATGGCGAGGACAAATGCATAACGACGTGAGTAAGAAACGGGTGTTGCACTACGGAAATCAACAGTCAGGATCATTTGCAGAGGGTTGATCATGTCTTGGACGTGACGAACCGTCTTCTACTGAGGAACGTCTTTATATCCTTGCCTCCTCCAGAACGCCGCAAACTACAGCTTGGCAGAAAATTGCCATGGAGGCTACCACAGCTTAGAGTTTTTGGTGTGATCCGCTTTCTAAGTGGCCCTCTTTACATGTAATGACATTTCCGGTAAAGGCGGTTAAACAAATTAAGTGGTTTCTTTGCTGTCAGTAAATTGCCAGACTGATTGTTTGCGCTTTCGGAGGTGTAGACACAGAATGCTAGATGTAGGATAGCAGCAAATAAACACTGATATTATACGGCAATGAAATATTCAGGAGGAATATTGGCGTTGTTGTCCCCGATACTGCAGAGCATTTAGTCTCACAGCTAGTTATGAGTATTTATAGCTAAGAAAGTTTTCAGTGAACGTGACACAGTCAATTTGTTGGACAAAACGTCGTAAGCTAACTCAAGTTATATGGACCATCTGTTAACTAGAAGTGTCCGATTGTGGTAAGAAAAAAAACGCGGTACACATGCCAGTGTGGTGTGATGAATCCTATATTTTGATTCCATTTAACAGCAAGAAATTACTTTCCGTTCGTAATACGGGAGTCAAATATTTTCATTTCTTACCTGTTTAAACGACATACTGGTGACCGTTCAAGTTATGAATGTGCAAATTTACTGACCATGTGAGGCATGCAATTTCAAAATAGTGACCAATGGAGCCGCGCGCTCAGCATCTGCTGAAAATACAGCACAATTTCTAAGCTTCTTATTAAATAATCTATTCTGGAGTGGCGAAATGTGAGGAACTTCCTTCCTCTGAGACAAACCTTTAAAGCCAAACTGGTGAAACATCCTGGCATGAAGGTTGTCTGATTCATGCCTCCGGAGGAAAATACGCAAAACAAATGTCTTTTGTCGCCGATATAGATTTATCACCTGACTATCACCTCGAGAAATTTGTCTCAAGAGAACGACTAGTACACAAACCCGTCACGCTAGGAATCTACAACCTTTGTTTTAGCTGGTTAGTTAACATTAATTACATTCTCAGAAACAATCATCACAACAGCACAGAATCGTACACCTAGCAAAAGTGAAAAAAAGTTCACGTGTATGATAACTCAACGCAGGATAAACCAACAATTTTTCGGTAAGCGGCATCGTTCTATCATTTTGCCAAACCACTTTTCCTTGCCAAATTTTCCCAATTGTTCTTTTCAAATTGGGACTGGTGAAATTTTATCCGGTGCGAGGTGTCGGTGTTGAACACTGATATCATGCTGTCAATGTTTATAATTATGAGACTTCAGGCAATTCGCAACAGCCCAGAATACGGAGGCTGATGACCGTCATACAGACTGCACCTGTAAGTTTGATCTACGCATAAATACGTTTGGTGAACAGGTAAGGGAGACCCTTTAGACGAGATGGGATACCCTAGCTCAGTACAGTTTGGAACTTATCCGGGCATAAATTTCCAGTGCCTCGGTGCAGATGTGTGATGCAGTTGTTATCAGTTATCTTCACAAGAAAATTAGTTCCCTATATTGGAAACTTGAGAATCCCTAAGTGCTTCGTTTCCCTAGGGGGAAATGAAGTAGCTGAAGGTGCAATTACAACATCACAGAAAATTCATCGATTGATTGACCACAATTAAAATCCTATGGTCAATACTATTAGCTTGGCCGTGTTGTCACCGCCGTCTGTTCATTTATCCAGAGCCATAAAGCAATATTTTGCTATTTTTGCCAACTGATTATATAAAATCTACACAGCCTTTGAAATTTCCCCTCCCCTGCTGAA